AGGGGGCTCGTCCTGGGGCGGGGCTGCTCCGCCACTGCACCCTCCTCCCCCCCCCTCGGGGTCGGAGCCCTGGGAAGCCCGGCGTGGGGACCCCGCTCTCCCGAGGTGGAGGCGGGGCAGTTGCTCCCCCGCCTCCACCTCCCTCCCTCCTCACACCTGCGGCTCCTTTGTCACCCTGGCGGCTCCTCTCCTGGGCCGGGACTGGGTGAATCACCAGGACTTTCTTCCCTGGGGCGGCTAACCTGCAGCTGGGATGGGGCCAAAGCTAGTAACAAAGACTCCCACGAGCATTTCTAAACCTACAGCCTCCTCGTGGGGAAGGCCAACTGCACAGATGAGGAAACTGAGGCTGGGAGCTTACCTCCTTTCTGAGCCACAGTTTCACAGCCAGAGACTGGGACATGGTATGAAGAGCGGCCAGAGCTCACCTGCTCAGCTTCCTGTGCCCCCCACGGGACCCCCACCAGGACTGGTCGGTCAGGTGCTGCAGGATCTGTGTGGTTCCCCAACTACGTGTGGGACGCTGTCCCCAGCAGTATCCCCCCAAACACCTGAACTGTGAAAGCCCTCTTTCCCCAGACTTGTAGGTTAATTTTTCACCAATTTTACAGAGAGGGAGACAGAAACACCCACTGATGCATTCATTGGTTGACCCTTGTATGAGCTCTGACCGGGGATCCATCAGCAACCCAGGGGTATAGGGACAACTCAACGACTGAGCTCCTGGGCTGTAGGGGGATTTCTAAGGACCCTCGAAGGTGAGGGGCTTAAGGAGTCCCAGCGCAAGGGTACCAGCACGAAGTGTCCCAGCTGAGAAGAGGGGGCCCAGCCCCTCCCGCCCACGTGGGAGCCGGTCAGTCCGGTTCCTGCGGCCCTAGCAAGCCGCCCCAGCTCATGACCCCTTAGTCCTGCCCCTCCCCCACCAGGGAAGAAAACTGGACAGCCAAATTTTTATTCAAATGGTCTTTATTTTCATATCTGGCATCTCTAGCAAAAGGCCAGATAGACGGAATTAAACAGAACCCACCAGAGTAAATAGACCCTCAAAATGCACTGGCTAGAATCTCCCCCTCCCCAAACTGGTCCTAGCTTCTCCTTACAGAGCTCTGAACACCACTCTGCCCCATTTTGTGATTCAGTCCAAGATCTTCTGGGTTGATTGTCTACGCCTGAGGGAGGGTCATGCTTGAGATTGTGAACATATCCCCACCTCGAACTCACCAAATGAGAAAAAATTTAACCTGAAATTAGATCAGCTTCCCCCGGACCGAAGGCAGAGGGAGAAGCACGCGGGGGCGAAGTGAGTCAGGCAGCCCTCCTCCCAGGCTCCACACCCACGCTAGGCAACAGGAAGCTCCCCACGTCTGCCCCGTGACGCAACGATGACCGCTTGCATAAGTATGTCACTGGAGGGGAAAGAAGAGTGCCTGGAATGCTGAGTTGGGAACACGAACACCAACTATTGAAAAACCTTGAAAGGGCAGCACAGCCCCCAGTAAAAAATAAAGTCCGACCCTGAGGAATTTCGGGAACCAAACCTCCCTCACCCAGTCCCAGGAGACGGAAAGGCCACGTCCCCGTTGGTTAACACAGCACCTGTGGGAGCGGCAAGTCTCGGAGGAAAGTGCCCGAGCCCCAGGCTCAGGTTCCTCGGCGCTGCGGAGGAACGCGGGTGGCGACAGCTCCCCGGGAAGAGTCCCTCTCCGGGCCTCTCAGCAGCCCGGGCCGCGGCTCCTCTCCGCCGTTTCCGCGGCCTTCCCGCGGGGGTGGCCTGGCTTCGGGTCTGTGTACTCGGGCCGACGGTTCGGCCCGCGCTCTGGGCTCCGGCAGCGCAGCTCGAGGGCCCTCAGAAGGCCACCACGGCGCGAACGAGCATGTTCAGCATGCTGTCCGCCGAGCGGCAGACCGGCTTCGCCTCGCATGCGGGCGGCGGCGGCGCCGTCGGGGGCGCGGAGGGGCTGCAGTTCAGGAGGCCAGAGAAGCGCCTCTGTAGGACACGCGCCAGGTTGGGGAAGGCGCCTTCCGCTTGCGCCGGAGGGGCCTGCAAGCGATCCGGGACCTCCGAAGACTCCCCTTCCTCCGCGTCCTCCTTTTCTAGACGGGCTTTCTTGCTCGGGACCAGTCCGGCATCCCCGCCGTCACTGAGGCTGCTGCTCCGCCGCTTGCGGCTGACTTTGGCGGGTCGAGGGGCAGAGTGGGCAGGGGTCTCCTCGGCTTTCGGCGCCTCCTGAGTGTCCATGGGCTCCGGGCAGGGCTGCTCACCGTCGGGTGACGCTGCCTTCGCTGCGGGTTGCGCTTCCCGCGGTGGGTGCAGGCGAGGGTCAGGGCAGCGGGCGGGCGGCGAGGGCACCTCGGGCTGCTCGTGGGCTTCCACCTTGGCCGAGAGGTAAAGCTCCCGCGCGCTACGCATGATCAGCGACAGCTGCAGGCTCCGGTGCAGCCGCAGCCCTCCGCGCTGCATGCGCGAATGGTACATCTTCCACACCGACAGGGTCATAATGCGTTGCGCCTCCTTTTGCACCTCCATAGCGACTCGACGGCGGGGACTTCCCTGCTGAGCAGGTGCACTTCAGACTAGGAGCTTGCTCAAGCTTTTCTCCTCACGCCGACAGACGCCGTAACGCACCTTAGACGCTCTGCCCCGGCGCCCGCCACCGGGGCCCATTTGTACCCGGAGTAACGTCACGATGACGTCCAGCCCAATCAGAGCCCTGCATCGGGCTTTCCAAAGCGTTGGGGCCGGAGCACCTTAAAGCGACAGGGTGGAATTTACCGGACAAAAGGGCTGCGAGCCCGGACGAGGAGGAGCGTCCCCCAGTCCACTCTGAGCTCTTGGGGTGGTCTCCTTTCTCAGCCCTCCCCACCTCGAGGCGCCGGCGCGCAGGCCCACGGGAGCCGGGCACCGGTGAGGCTCAGAGCCCACCCACATGCTGGAGTTCGCAGGCCCCAGCAGGTCGTAGGCGGCTGGTTTCCCTTCGCACCGGGGAATACCCGGTTCGAGCCCGTGCATCCCCCGGGGCACAGTTCCAGGTGTCTCATTAGTGTTTTTTGAACCAATAACAATGCTAACACTTATTAAGCGATTACTACGTGCCAGATGATGTTAAAGGCTTTCCTTTCATAAATGTCTCATTGACCTCTCAACACCCCACAGAGGGTACTGTTGTTATACTTGACTTATTCACGTGGTGAAACCGAGGTAGGCTGACTATCCAATGTTTGCTAATAAATGGGCCAACTGCAGTAAAAGGAGGACCTCACCTCTACAATATCTAACGTACACCAGCCCTCCTCACTCCCCTTGTCTGCAGGCCGTAAGGAGGCGGGCAAGTGGGCTGGTTCCAGGGCAAAGCTGCCTGCTCCACGGGCGGCGGAAGTCTGCAGAGCCACCTCTCCTCTCCGCAGTGACCATCCTCCCAGTTTCCTTCGGCACAAGCTGCACGGACGGGCTTGGCATTCTCAAGGTGGAGGACCTGGCCACACGACACGCAGGTGAACTCAGGGCTGCAGCCCCCTAAACGACGCAGCAGTGCTCTGCCTCTGCACCCCGGGAGGCGCGGTTGGGGTAGGAGCTGAAAACTGAGCAACGCAGAGATAGAGCAGATAGTAAACATCGGCCCTACCCTCCGCCACGCGCTTTCTCTCCAAGAAAACCTATTTCCAATTCCTCAAAAACGCTGCAAAATTGTTTGAATGGCTCCATTCCTTCGTGGTGTTGGCCCTTTAAGGGGAGGCTCCGCCCACCCGACTGGTCCTCCGAGCCTTCCCGCCTTGGGGTCCGAGCCACTTCCAGGACTAAATTTGGAAGTAATGACGTACAGCGGGCGTCCGAGCCGCTTCCGGAGGCCCATATAAGGACAGGGGCCGGGCTCTCACTGGCAATAGCTAGCTTTTTCCTGGCAGGCGGGCGTGGGTGGGGTCTTGGCCTCCCGACACGCCCTCTTCCTTTCCCCTCTCTAGGCAACTAGAGTTGGCCGGAGCCCCCGACTTCCGGACCCGCGTCCAGTGGGGCCGAGTAGGAAGATTTTGCTTCCTTTCCGGGAGGCCAGAATGGCGCGATGCCCTTCCGGAAATGCCCGGCGCGGGCGGGTAGGGGTGACCTCAGGACTCCCACTGATGCCAACACCCAGGGACCCTACATAAAGACCTTGCTAGCACTATGGGCGGCTCGGTGAAGCTCCTTCATCCCGGTCCCCCCCCCCCCC